TATGTGTTCTGTTTATCTGTAGCTGTACCTTTATGTTGTTGTCTTTATGATTTGTGTGGAATGCTGCAATGTCTGTTAGTCTTTCCTTACTGTGCTGTTTCTTTTGTCTTTTTTATCAAATGTTTAGTGTGTAAGAGTTTTTGAAAAGCGCTTATGAATAAAATGTATTATTATTATTATTATTATTAGATATAAGAGAGACATTGGCCGATATGGAGCTCAGCGTAAGGGAAGGAAGACTGCTTATATTCTTTCACAAATTCATTCATTCTTTCACTTCAACTTAAACTACTTCCTCTGTCTACCTGCTCTGGTGATCAGCTGTTAATGGGTGTTTATTCTTTAAGTAATTAACCAACCAGAGTCGGGCACAACCTCTCTCAACCAATCATCCTACTGCGACAAAATGCTAAAATAGTTCTTTCTCTTCCACAGTCATTCTGTCATTTCAAGGCAACTGCTGCAACCCACCACCGCCCCAGTCACCTCCATTCCAGCTCAGCAGAGTCCAGATTCAGGCTCATTATAGCCTCCATTCCTCTTCACCACCACCAGTGTCTAGACTCCATAGGGGGGTATCCTATCCTGCTGTCGGCCTCATTACCCTTCCGAGTACATGAAGTCGTCACGATGGAGTCTAATCCTCCAAAGACTTTGCACATTCAAATCTAAATTGTCGCACATTTATTGTTAAATAAATAATTGTTCATTCTCAATTAAGTCTCTCCTGATTGAAATATCAGTCTCAGCTTTTTTTTCCTACCTAATATCAATATCACTACCCAACACTGGCTGTTACACACTGATGTCACTGCATTCACTTTATCTTATCATTTCTGTGTCCAGAGGCAGTCCGTAATGTGTGAAAAAAAATGAATGTCCTGTTAGTGCTGTCATTTTATATGATGCAACCCGAATACTGGATGTTGTCCTGTTTGTTGGGGTAATGTTGAATGTAAGTTGTAAGATATTGAGACACAGTCCCACGGTGATACTGATAAACTCAACTAAATAATTCATGGCAGGATTAGGAGAAGGCCGTTATTTTGTTTCCTCGAGGAACAGGAACACCTCTAATAGCATTCATCAACAATGTCCTCCTGTCTGGGTTTTCTCAGATTAAATTGAGTAGAAGTAAAAACCTGAGCTTGTTGATTTGTAAACGTGACTGAACAAGGACTATCTTTCAATGATAAAATCAAGCTGGTTAAAACATGTTGATGGAAACTGAGACCACGAACTTCCCCAGCAGTATTAGGACGCCTTTCTCAACCGCCAGAAGAGCAGAAACTATAAATTCAGAGATAAACATGTATCTGTTACCACTCTGTTGCATCATCACCTCTTCTTTCAACTACAGCCTGTTAGCGTTTGTTAACCCAGGAGACCTATTGCTGTCACTTTGAACGTGAAATGTTTTAACATTCTTGTGTGATTTAGGATATCAGCTCGTCAACACTTTTCTTCAATTTCAAAACATTGGACAGAGCTTTCTTCCCCCGCCCCCTCCCTCCTAGAGCCAATGTGCAAACAGGTTGCTATGTCGTGGACACTGAAGCTTCAGTTTTTAACCAGCTCTGCATCGGTCTAGAGACTTTTCTGCTCTCTAACCTCTCTCCTTTTTTCAGAAGCAACCGCCTACCTTCTCTGCTCAAAATACAATGATTCTGCGCCACAATGGAAAACTAGAAGGAGGACATACCGACTGCTACATTTACAGATAAACCAGCACTTAAACAGATCATGTTTCCTTAATGTCTGATGATATAGAAAGACCATTTCAAGATTTAATTCAGAAGATATCTTACATATTGGACCTTTAAACTGTCCTCCTTAACCTCGTCTTTGATTCAGGGCCATTTAAACCCTGTTCTCTGGAACTGGCCTCACAGGCTTTCTTTAATCTGATTGGAAAACAAGAGCATGCAATGAATGAATCAAAACTTTATTACAGACTCAGGGTCCAAATAATAAAATCCAAAAGACATAAAATACAATACAAGATACATGAAATACAAAGCACAGTATAAAAACCTGCAACTTAAATGCAATGCATGGTATAAAATCACTAAATAGATAAAAACAGCGCCCCAGAGGATACAACTGTACCAATGTTTCCATATCTTGGATTGATTCAATGTGCATCTCTTTTGATAAACCATTTACTTTTTCAATAAAAAATAAAAATCTTGATTAGCAGAGCTTCAATACAAACAAAAGTGAAAACCATCACCTCAAACTTATCCATAATTCATGATCAATATCTCTCCAGATTTGAACATCAGAGGCTTCATGGAGAAAATATTATGTGAAATTACTGAGAATAATCATGTATTGTGCCAAACACCCCGCAGAATATTGAAATATCACATTCATATCTCAAAGTCGATATTTAAAGCAATGCAGGAAGAGCAGAGCGAGAGAGGGAGACAGAGAGAGAGTCTTCAAATAATCAGGTATGACGTTTGGCAATGACATCATAGTCTGGAGATCTGTTAGTGTGATCCAGATTCATGTAAGTGCTGTCCTCTTCTTTTGGCTTCATGCTCTCTCTTTGTTTCCTTTAGTAAAAGAAGAAATGAGGATTAAAAAAGGGTTTTACAAACAACTCATTTGTCATATCTTCATCAGCACAGTTTATTCTAAAAAGTCCTCCGGTGTAATAACATACCAAAGAAACACCATGCAGAGTGTGAGGACGATGTTCACAGTGAGAGACACTCCAGTAACAGCCCAGAAGAGAACTCCACCGTAGGGTCCACAGTTATCCTCAAGACCTGTCATAAGAAATAACATGATAATATCATAACCCTGTTTGGGGGGGGACACTTTTTCAACTTGATGGTTTTTACCACTAAAGTCTACTTCATTGTCAGTTTGACAGTGAAGGAAGTACCAAAGCTGTATCATATTTCCAAATCAAGACCGCAAAGCGAGCAAGAGAGACGAGTGTAGGCTGAGCAACCAAAAGACTAAAAGAAGAGGAGTGGTTTCAGCAGGAACAACACTGAGCCAGAAGAAATTCAATATTCATTTTGATTGTTTCATGGTGGTTATGTTCAAAAGCACAATTTAAACACACTAAACCCACTGGCACATGAAGGAGTTGATTATGAAAGGGAAACTGAATGATTGATTGGCCCAAATTGGCACACATGGACATTTGGATGAAAAAGACAAATTAGTAATGTTTTATATACTAATACAGAAAGTGCCAAAGATGGAAATCAATCTTGAAAACTGAAACATTAACAACATTTTATAATCAGTAAATCACTGCTCTGGAGGAATTATAGACCTTTAAAGGTTTAAAAACACACAGTTTAACTTGTATACATACGCTGAACATATAAGTCTTTGTTGTCAGATCGTCCACTCCCCAGTTCATTTTCAGCCTTGCAGAAAAAAGGACCGCTGACATCTGAAGCTTTAACAGTTAAAACACGTCCAGTCCCCATGAAAGTCTCCTGGCCTCCATCAGCTCTGTACCAGGTGTAGTCCTTTACAGCTGGGTTGGTACTGCTACTACAGGTCAGAGTCACAATGTTGTCTTGTCGTATTGGACCGGACAGACTGACCGACACTGGGTTTTTTGGGTGAATCTGGGAGGAAAAAAATAAACAGACTTGTTCTTTTGATAATTGAATTGTAAACTGTCACTTTCTTGCTGATTTGGAAGAAAAATCATGAAGAAAATTACTGACTCTGCTTCAGCAACATTTGAAGCCTTTGCTTTTCAGCATGTTTGCACTTACAAGAAAGGTTGCCATTAGTTTCATGTTTTCTGTACATTAAAGGGAATTATGTTAATCCTAAAATGCATCTTAATCAGAATTAGATATATGGCATGCAGATGTAGATGTTCCCTTTTGTCTTTTCTTCTCAGTCTCTGCTTTAGCTTGATTTCAAAGCAGCTTGAAGTTTATGCAATTAACAAGAATTGTGCCTGCAAAGGATATTTTGGATGAGGAAACACTTCAGAGAAATGAAGCAGAGCAAGTTAAAGGCTTGCTGTTGAAGCTTTGTGAGCAAGAAAATACAGAAGCATCTCACACTGAGGTGTTTGATTTATTAAATTGATGTCATGTCAACACTGATTAGAAAATCTAAAGAATTGGGTAAAGATTTACTTTCAAGGACTTATTGTTTCACACCTAATTTAATTTAGTCAAGATTTTAAGGAGATGAGAGAGCATTTAAAAGTTTAAGTTTGAATTCCTTAATCACAAGACAAACATACTCACATGTAATGTCAGCTGTTAAACTGGTGTTCACAGATGACTCAGTGCTGCCATCTTGTTTTCTGTAGACAGCAGTACAGGAGATTTCCTGTCCGTGATGGAGGTGTGATGCGTTGAAGTTCAGCACAGAGATCTTGACTTTAGTTTTGTCCTGATTCTCCTGCAGGGTCTCCTGACCTTCACCCAGGCCGGGGCTCCATGTCAGATTTGGAGGAAGAGACAGACAGGGAGCTGGAGCAGAGCAGTTCAAACTCACTGAGGTTCCCTCTTTCACCTTCAGTGTGGGCGGAGTCAGAGTCGGTCTGGGTGGATCATCTGTTCAGAAGATACATAAACATGTATAAGCAGTCATTTCTCTCTACTATCAAAGGTTTGATTTATCTTTATTTTAAAGTAATTAATAATAAGGTCAGAGAACTACTACATGACTGAACTGTAAAAAAGTTGAATTTGAAACCTACCTGTGACTGAAATTTTCACGCCATCAAAAAAGTATTTCAGATCATTGTCACATTCCAATCTAAAATTATGCACTTTGTTGTTTTGAGGTTGCATGTCATTCAGGGTTGTGGTGCAGTCTTTTTGTGTTAGGTCACCGATCAATTGTCCTTTCTGTTGTGGATTACTGCTATCAAACACATCAGGTCCAAAAGTACTTTCTCTCCATAATGCTTTACAAGTGTTTTCTAAGTTACATTAATTGATCCTCTACGTCAAAGGAGCAGGGGATTGTCACACAGGATCCCTTCAGAACCTCTATAGTCTTTGGTATAATGCTCTCAAACTGTCCACACAGGGCACCTGAAACACAAGAAAGAACATTTAAATAAGAACATGTGTTAATCATTTGTGAATTTTTGGACTAGCTATGTGTAACGCTAAGTTTTTGAGGTATTATTTCAAATTACTTTTTGTTTTTTACAGTGGTGGGCTTAATGTGAGTGAATATCTCACCTGGGAGCAGACAGCCAACAAGAAGGAGAGTGAGAGCTACAGCCATCTTTGTGTTTCAGAATAGGCAGAAAGTCTGGAGAGTACACATGGGTACACATCAGTTTCATACTAAGTATATTTGAGTTATTTCATACTTCTGAAGTTGCTTATTGCAGCATCATGTTGTAGATGATAAAATGATTAGAAAAAAACAGGAAGCTTTGTGGTCTGTGAAGGCAAAAGTGACACATAATGCTACTTTTCATTAATGTATTTTCAGTCTATAGTTAAAATGAACGCTATAATCTGTTTATAGGCAGCTCCTTTAATCACCAGCAATATACAAAAACACAACGACAGCTTTATTACGTCCAAGATCAAAGAGAAAATGCTTCTCCTTTTACAGTGTCTGTTTTTCCTTAACCTATGGTATTAGTTTATTGATCTAAATCCAAGTTGAGAAAAAGTACACATTTTTAGAATTATGTATCAAGTGCTGATTTTCATATTTTTCTTATCAAAATCATGTAAACTTACATTCTTGTCAGGTCCTCTGGAGCAGAGAGGTGAAGATGTTCAGAGGAGGGACGTTTCCTTCAAAGTGTGTGCTGCTTTTTCAAACAGCCTTCTTCAGTAAATTACACGAGGAAGTCACAGTAGTGAACATGCGTGTTACAATCATTTTACAGTCATTTCTATCATGGCTCATAACAGTGCCACAACTCTTCTCAATTACATGTATTCTTCTGTTCTCTTCTATTTTTCATCTTTGGAACTAAATTAACATGTTTGTAATACTCACCTATTAGTCTCCACCCGCCTGTTTTATGATATTTAAAGAAATAACACATTGTTCAGGTGCAGGTTACTGTATTTGTACACCTAGCGAGCTATGAGAGAAATGACAAAACAGATGTAAGAAGATAAAACACATTCGAGAAGGATCAATCTATTTATAACCTACGGAAACATTATTTTAAAAAATGAATAAATTATAACAATGATAAAAGTCGCTTTGGATAAAAGCGTCTGCTATGTGAATTGTAGAATTGTAGAAAAGTGCTCAAGGTTCCACCAATGAATGAAAAAAACAATAAAATTAATCACAAAATTAAGCCAGGATATTTGCAAATATGGCTACAGCTTTTTCAGTTCAGTGATAGCAGCAGAAAGATAGTTATTTTTGTTCGGCTTTGTTCTGCCCCTTGGGACTGAAAAACCTCCGTCCAGAGGGAAGATGCTGAAAATCACGGTGCAAAGGGTGGGAGTCAATGTTTAAGACATACTGTAGGTAGCTATCTGCTCTAACGGTCTGGATTACAGGGACGCTTGGTAGAGCCGTGACTCACCAACCAGCTGATTAGACCATTTAACAATGTTTTTACTTTTAAATAAAGTACAATACTTCCTCCCATTAGTAAAATAGATGATTACTATTTGAACTCCACAGACAGACAGTGGTGACTGTGGCTCAGTTGGTATAGTTAGTTGTCTCTCAACCGGAAGGTCGGGGGTTCGATACCCAGCACATGTATGATGTGTCCCGCTGCTTCGTCGGTGGAGTCTGAATGTGTATGAATGGGATGAGTTACTTCTGATGGTCACTTTTCATAGCAGCCTCTGCCTTAACTGTGTGAATGTGTTGGTGTGACCTGTGGAGTAAAAGCTTTGAGGACTCTTCTCGATCACACATGTTCTCTTCTATTTTTCATCTTTGGAACTAAATTAACATGTTTGTAATACTCACCTTTATTATGAATTTTTAAAACACATTAATTTCAATGTATACCACAAACTTCCCCCATAGCATGCAGCAATAGGAAGCCTCCTCAACCGCCAGAAGAGCGGAAAACTACAAATTCAGAGATAAACATGTATTTGTTACTACTCTGTTGCATCATCACCGCCTCTTTTAACTCCAACTGTTAGCGTTCAGTCTGCCGAGATCTACCAGTCCTCACAGGGAGCCGTAGCCATTACAAACAGCCTACAAACCCATTTAATATGCACATAACAAACAGTTATAATTCCAGATTAATTTTTTACTCTTATTTTAGGGTACATTTTAATATTAAGTTTGTATTTATATCAAATATTTTTTCCCCTCTAAATTAATGTAGTTTGCAACAAACAACTTTAATCTGCGTTAATCTGTGTGGAGATGTTCACAAACTACAGCAGACTGCTGTGAGATGACGTTGCTATTGTTAAATTAGCTGCAGATACGATGAGAGTGAATGGAGTAAAGTCGTACCTAACCTTTGACCAGATCGTGTGTTCTCGACTCGGTCCTTACAGATAAACTATGTGCTGTAGCACTAAAAGTAAAAAGGTTCACGTGGTGGCTGGAGTTTAACTTAATCCTGCTTCATTGGGTAGACAATAGACCACACCATTAGGCCGTCTCAGGTCAGTGTCCGCCATCATAGTGACGACAAGTGATCACGTCACCATCTTACAGTTTGAACGTGATCACTTGTGATTACGCCGCCATCTTCTAGTTTTTAGTGACCACACGTGATCACGCCGCCATCTCAGTTTGAACCTGATCACACGTGATTATCTTCATCATCTTGTCCCTCTCTCTCTATCTCTTCCTCTCTCTCTCTCTCTCTCTCCCTTACATACACAACCACATACACACACACACGTACACACACGCACAGTCTCACACACACACACGCACACACACACACACACACACACACACACACACACACACACACACACACACGCACACACGCACAGGCTCACACACACACACGCACACGCACACGCACACACACCCACACACAGACACACACACACACACATACACACACACACACACGCACACACACGCACACACACACACACACACACACACACACACACACACACACACACACACACACACACACACACACACACACACACACACACACACACACACACACACACACGCACACACACACACACACACACACACACACCCACACACACACACACAAAAAAATGAATGTCCTGTTAGTGCTGTCATTTTATATGATGCAACCCGAATACTGGATGTTGTCCTGTTTGTTGGGTAATGTTGAATGTAAGTTGTAAGATATTGAGACACAGTCCCAGGTGATACTGATAACTCAACTAAATAATTCATGGCAGGATTAGGAGAAGGCCGTTATTTTGTTTCCTCGAGGAACAGGAACACCTCTAATAGCATTCATCAACAATGTCCTCCTGTCTGGGTTTTCTCAGATTAAATTGAGTAGAAGTAAAAACCTGAGCTTGTTGATTTGTAAACGTGACTGAACAAGACTATCTTTCAATGATAAAATCAAGCTGGTTAAAACACGTTGATGGAAACTGAGACCACGAATTTCATCAGCAGTATTAGGACGCCTTTCTCAACCGCCAGAAGAGCGGAAACTATAAATTCAGAGATAAACATGTATCTGTTACCACTGTAATAATGTTTTAACGTTCTTGTGTGATTTAGGATATCAGCTCGTCAACATTTTTCTTCAATTTCAAAACATTGGACAGAGCTTTCTTCCCCCGCTCCCTCCCTCCTAGAGCCAATGTGCAAACAGGTTACTATGTCGTGGACACTGAAGCTTCAGTTTTTAACCAGCTCTGCATCGGTCTAGAGACTTTTCTGCTCTCTAACCTCTCTCCTTTTTTCAGAAGCAACCGCCTACCTTCTCTGCTCAAAATACAATGATTCTGCGCCACAATGGAAAATTAGAAGGAGGACATACCGACTGCTATGTTTTCAGATAAACCAGCACTTAAACAGATCATGTTTCCTTAATGTCTGATGATATAGAAAGACCATTTCAAGATTTAATTCAGAAGATATCTTACATTTTGGACCTTTAAACTGTCCTCCTTAACCTCGTCTTTGATTCAGGGCCATTTAAACCCTGTTCTCTGGAACTGGCCTCACAGGCTTTCTTTAATCTGATTGGAAAACAAGAGCATGGAATGAATGAATCAAAACTTTATTACAGACTCAGGGTCCAAATAATAAAATACAAAAGACATAAAATACAATACAAGATACATGAAATACAAAGCATAGTATAAAAATCTGCAATTTAAATGCAATGCATGGTATAAAATCACTAAATAGATAAAAACAGCGCCCCAGAGGATACAACTGTACCAATGTTTCCATATATTGGATTGATTCAATGTGCATCTCTTTTGATAAACCATTTACTTTTTCAATAAAAAATAAAATCTTGATTAGCAGAGCTTCAATACAAACAAAAGTGAAAACCATCACCTCAAACTTATCCATAATTCATGATCAATATCTCTCCAGATTTGAACATCAGAGGCTTCATGGAGAAAATATTATGTGAAATTACTGAGAATTAATCATGTATTGTGCCAAACACCCCGCAGAATATTGAAATATCACATTCATATCTCAAAGTCGATATTTAAAGCAATGCAGGAAGAGCAGAGAGGGAGACAGAGAGAGAGTCTTCAAATAATCAGGTATGACGTTTGGCAATGACATCATAGTCTGGAGATCTGTTAGTGTGATCCAGATTCATGTAAGTGCTGTCCTCTTCTTTTGGCTTCATGCTCTCTCTTTGTTTCCTTTAGTAAAAGAAGAAATGAGGATTAAAAATTGTTTATACAAGTCTGCTCATTTGTCATATCTTCATCAGCACAGTTTATTCTAAAAAGTCCTCCGGTGTAATAACATACCAAAGAAACACCATGCAGAGTGTGAGGACGATGTTCACAGTGAGAGACACTCCAGTAACAGCCCAGAAGAGAACTCCACCGTAGGGTCCACAGTTATCCTCAAGACCTGTCAAAAGAAATAACATGAATATCATAACCCTGTTTGGGGGGGGGGGGGGGGCACTTTTTCAACTTGATGTTTTTACCACTAAAGTCTACTTCATTGTCAGTTTGACAGTGAAGGAAGTACCAAAGCTGTATCATATTTCCAAATCAAGACCGCAAAGCGAGCGAGAGAGACGAGTGTAGGCTGAGCAACCAAAAGACTAAAAGAAGAGGAGTGGTTTCAGCAGAACAACACTGAGCCAAAAGAAATTCAATATTCATTTCTAATTGTTTCATGGTGGTTATGTTCAAAAGCACAATTAAACACATTAAACCCACTGGCACATGAAGAGTTGATTATG